TAGTGTGTTACCAACTGTTTTTTTGGTGACTATGGTCCCAGCTGCCTTGAGACCATTGACAAGTTCCTCCCAAGTAGTTCTGAGCTGATTCCTCACCGTTCTCATTGTCATTGAAACTCCACGAGGTGAGATCTTGCATGGAGCTCCAGACCGAGGGAGATTGGCAGTTAATTTATGTTTCTTCCATTTGCGAATAATCGCACCAACTGTTGTCACCTTCTCACCCAGCTGCTTGGCGATGGTCTTGTAGCCCATTCCAGCCTTGTGTAGGTCCACAATCTTGTTCCTGACATCCTTGGAAAGCTCTTTGGTCTTGGCCATGGTGAAGAGTTTGGAATCTGGATTGATTGATTGCTTCTGTGGTCTCTTTTATACAGGTAACAAGCTGAGAGGGCTCCCAGTGTCAGCTTGTTACCTGTATAAAATACACCTGGGAGCCAGAGATCTTGCTGACTGATAAGGGATCAGATACTTATTTCATTCATTAAAATGCAAATTAATGTATAACTTTTTTTGTAATGCATTTTTCTGGATTTTTTTGTTATTGTTGTGTCTCACTGTTCACATACACCTACCATTGAAATTGTAGACTGATCATTTCTTTGTTAGTGGGCAAACTTACAAAATCAGCTGGGGTTCAAATAATTTTTTTCCCTGACTGTATATATAAAAATGTCCTTTTCACTCAGACTGCAGAAGGACATATTTTACCAGATATGGTTGAAATGGATGGAATATGTGAAACCTGTAAGGCCTGACTTTGTGTAAAACCACTGGGTGCCTATGTAGTAGTGAAGCTACATTGACTATCTATACACAGTGAGGTACCAATAGAGAAGAGGTTCCCCTGCCCCGGTCATGTTCTTTGTTTGTTGTTGTTTTTCATTTTGTTTTTCTGGTTTTTTAAAAAAAAAAGCAAAAGTATTGTATGGTAATACATTGCAGATTGTACTCATTATGCAGTGTGCTTTTTCAATAAAAAAGTAAAAAAAAAAAAAAAAAGTTACCTGAAGCCCTGTTTTTGTAGATGTCATGCTCTTGGAGAGTGGAGTGGAGTCAAATGATAGTGCTGAAATGATTAGTTGATCGATTTTATATCATTGTAAACTGAATATCTTTGTAGTTTCGTGTGTTTTTCCACCTTTGGCCCTGGAACATTGTGGTGGGCTTTGCAATGTTTTCCAACAATTTATAGCCTAAACAAGTATGTTGCACTCCTAACAGTTGATTCACTGATCATTTCACGTCACATCCTGACTGCTCCCCTCCTCAGGTCTCCCACCAAGGTGAGCTCCAGCCAGACTGGCAGCCTGGAGAGCAGCTCTGCCAGGGGGCCCCGCCCTGCCACACTGCCAGAGTTGTATCTCCTTTGAAGCCCGCCTGAAGCGCCTCTCGTGCGGCCACCTCTTCTGCGACCCCTGCTGCGACCAGATCGTCAACCTGGCCTTCGAGGACATCGAAGGCCTGTCCGACTACCCCTGCCCCATGTGCAAGTCCATCCGGCAGCTGGGAGGCCTGGGACCGTCCTCCTCTGGGTACTTCTATGGGCCCTACAGCATCCTGCAGCAGCAGCATACAGGGAAGGAGCACGAGAGTCAGTGGGGGTGAACACGATGGTTCTCTCCTCTAACAATGGACTTAAATCTTTTGGTGTCTGGTGCGTGGTTGATCTTTAACGCACTGCCATAATAAATACATGGTGACTGTGGACTACAGCCAGTGGTCATCCTACTTTAATCCATCTCTCTTGCTCTGTTCGTGGTAATCAGATGAAACATGAGAATGCATGACACTAGCATCTGTAGGTTTGAAGTGTCAAAATGCATCTCAGTAGACCGCTGCAAACTCACACACCATCATAACAAATATGGAAGAGAGGTCTCTCACATATCTCTATGTTTTACCCCAGAGTGTAGTGAAACAACAAGAAAAACACCACATTCGTATTTTTAACAGCGTGCAGGTTTTCTGCCTACTTGTGTATGAAGACACAGATCAGTTAAAACACTAAGCTTCAGTCAACTGGACTTGGCGTTGGATACTCGAGAGACCAAAACCAGAGCTTTACGCGAAGTTAACTGTGCAGTAGATATTTTGTATATTTAACATTTTCTGTCAAGTGAGTTCTTATTTTGTACACTTCCTGTGAAAGTAATGAGCATTTTGCACACAATTTTCAAATTTATTCTGTGTACACACCATTAAAGATGGTTGGATTTTAAATTTTAATTCTGTTGTACAGTGCCATGCAACTTTTTAAGTGTTTCAGATCATATTGTAAATATTTATTTTGCTAAAAATTAAAGTTGGTGAACAGTGAATGAGTAGGGATCGTTTTATTTTTGTGGAACTGATTCATATTATGAACAACTTAAGAGTTTATAAACTGACAACACTATCAGGATCAAAGCATGCTGATAAAAAACATATGTACATCTGGCAAATTTAAGTCAACTTTGTACCAAAAACATTAAATTATACAATGATACAGACCAACAGGTGAGGAACAAGATCAAATTAGACTTTCCATGCAAACAGGAAAATAAAAACCTTGTATTTTTTTCCATGGAAGATAAGGAAATGTCTTGGCATCACACCTGGAAAGCTCTGAAATTATAGCTGATATCAATGTGCCTTGATATGAATGTGAATATTTACAACAATTTAATAATTCATAGTGCTATCAAGTGAGGTACCATTTGACATAAGAAAGTCGGCATCAGTCAGACATGCTGCCTGAAAATATTTAGAAAAACATGCTTTTTCAAATACGTAATGGTGCAAATTCATTCATCCATGGGAATGACGCCAGTACATCCACTAGACACCCACATCATGCGAACGACAACCTATTTGGATTTAAAGGCACAGGACCACATCTTCCCTCTGTGCTTTTAAAACAGCCAGACGCTTCCAAGTCCTTGACCTAAATGCTGGCTGCATACTAATACACCACCGGGCAGGAAAAAAAAAAAAGATCAAGTTCAAAGTAAACACAGGAGGAAACAAGCTTCCCTTTGCTTCCAACAGCGGTACCCTTTCAAGGTATGGCAATCAAAACAAGGCAGAATGAAGGTTTGTTTTGTAGTTCCACCACAAAATGATGGAGACTATTCAAAATAATACATTTGGTCACTAGAAAATTGACTGACAATGGTCAAAAATACTTGAAAGGTGAAATTATATGACTAAACCCCAAGAGGATTTCAGTCACGCAGAAAATGAGTTACATACTGCAATAATACTCAGTGACCGTGGCCACGTGTGGACACATGAAGGCTAACGTAACACTGAAGTTAATATAGGCCTCTTGGTGCTGCCAACCATGCATGCAAGTGGAGAGATATGAGAGCAGTACAAAAATAGCTCTCATGCCCCAAATTCCACATTCAAGTCACTGGTCACACGTGACTAGTGCAGAAATGATCATTTTCCAAACAATGTTCTACTACAAACTAGTAATTAAATGTGCTTTTCACATTTGTGTGATGTCATGAAGGGCTAAAGAGCCTGTTGTAAAAAGGTCTGAAGACATGGTGCTTGCATTTCCAGTTGCTGCCATACATCTTGTCAAAGCGCCCTTAAGAACCACCTCAGGACACCACAGTCTCTGTCCTGCCCTGACATTGTACCCATATAGGATAAGAACCTAAAAGTGGATACTACACACTTTCTTTCCTGAAGGGTGATGTAACATAAATGTATAATGACAGTCTCTACTGCATTTTAATATAGTACAGGGCGTGCATGATTATGAGGCTTTAGGAGTTGGCATCTTCAGCCCTTGGTTTGTCTCTTTGCTTCACTGCAAACAGATCCATTTCATTAAAGGAACAATGAATACTATATCTTTTTTTTAACAAATGTACAAAACAGTTGTCACACTTTTTAATACAGTACAGGTGATGAAAAGCAGAGTCCAGAGCTCTCGCACGTATTATTTCACACTACGGTTCACTGTGCTCCACAGAGACCCGCTTCATGTCTTATCACCTTACATGATTAAATACGGTTTGTCAGAAAACACACACCTGCATCTCCTCAGTAAATGATACCAGCAAACGACTGCTTAGTTTCATAGTGTGCAGGCAGCTGAGATGGTTGTAGAACCCCGTCATGATGTGGAGCAGCCTGTAACTTATATGAAAACAGTAAAGGCCAAGGCCAGACCTCAGGAGGCTATCGAGCTTTTGCTCTTAGGTGGTTTGGCATTGCTGGGTGCTGGGTAGTAGCGCTGGTCAGGGCGGGTCTCTGCTACTGAGGAGTGCCCAAACAGGAAAGTGTGCTTGTTGCTGCCACCATTGTCCTTGTGGCTGGGCCTACATGGTGGGGCTGAGGAGGGCGTAGGGCCCCTGGAGTTGTGCTGGGTGGTGGAGGTAGGAGAGGGTGCCGCTTTGGGTGCACCCATGCCCTGAGGCCTTGATGCTGGGAAGAGGAAGGTGCCATTGTTGGTGTTTTGATTCAGATTGGTGTCAGCATTTCGGGGCTCAGCTGGCTTTGTGGGTGGGTTCGTATCTGTGCTGGTGGATACTTGTGCTAGCTTGTCTTTGAGCTGCTGCACCTCCTGGGCTAGTCGCTCCACAGGGTGGAGGTGGTTGGTGGAGATGGGGTGGGAGAACGCCTGAGGATGTAAAGTAACATGGTCAGTTTATCTTCACTGTTCTCACCAGAGGGAATTATTCCTCAAATCTTCACTGGACAAGGCTCTTGATGTTCACTCTTAATCGATAACACATTTCATGAAGAAGAAAAAAAACAAAAAACCAAAAGCAGAATGTAACAGTGAAGAAGTGTCTGTGTACCTAATGCCTGATAATATTTCTCTGCACCACAGAGCTCCATTGTTGTCCAGAACAATCAAAGGCACACTGATCAACACTGTGTGACATTTCTTTTTAACACACACACACATTTTTTCCCTAACAACACCAGAAATACACTGCCAGAAAAACCTGCTTGTGTCCCAAATGTATATTAATCTGCAGCTAAAAACAGTCCTAATGGATTATTTAATGTGATTTAGACCACAGTGGTCTGCGCTATTAGTAAAATATTTTGCCCTAAATTAAACTATATAAAGTATTTCTCACTGATTTTTAAAGACATCTTATTACTAGTAGTTTGTCATTTTCTAATTTACCTTAACGTTACTGTGTATAATTACTTTTGCTTGCGGTTCTGTCTCACCCTCAGCATTTCACTGTACAGACGACAGGTATTATTCTGCACAAATAACGTCAGTAGTTTCTTGACATATTGTTGGTTTTGATCTTTTCACTGAATCTGTTGATAATAATAAAATAATAAAAATTTCTCCAAACGTATTCTTTAACATGCAAACAATGTTACATTGACATACCAAGGAACCAGTTTATTAGTACACATGTCCAGTCTCATATAACCCAGTCCAATAGCCCAGCAATAAATCCCACCTCCTACTTGAAGATTATAATATTCAGGCTTTTTAAAAACGATTATTTTGGGGGCACAGTTAGTGGTTGTGTTGTAGTGAAGTGCATTAAACATGAGAGTTGTTTAGTGTCAGTTCACAGCTTCATTACAACAGTGAAAAGCAGCAAAACTTCACATGAAACATGAGCTCCAGCTTGGTTCTAGAAGAAAGAAAGAAAAGGATCTGTTGGCATGGAGGGGAAGTTTAATGTTGTGTAAAATCATAAAGGAAACATCTCAGTTACACAAGGGCACTGGATTTTCCCAAATCTGTCTACACTGTTAATCTGAGATGCTGCTGTAGCTGTTTGATAGGTTTTACTTCCTCTACAGCTTCCTTAAAATAGATGACTGCTCACCCACACAGCCCTCGACTATTCCTGACATCACCATGGGGACACTAACAGACGCACTGTGGTGCAGACATCACAAAGTCTGTACCAGGTCCATATTTGGAGTTGTCGATCAGCACTCCAACTAATCTGAACAACAAAGACATGTCATCTAATGAACAAGCAGTCATGATGTGGGAGGATGTAACACAGAAGACATGAGGCTGTAGTGGATAACTCAGAGCCTTCACGCGGTCTTATGGATGGTGCCCACTTCATAAACTCAATGACATCAGTCTGTCTCATCCTTCTGTATGCTGCATATTTTTTTATATGCTGGGCTATGAATGAATCTGTCCTTAGTAAATCACATCTTATTTACAGTTTTTAACGCAGAATGGAAAATAATTTCACAAAGAACTGGCTCTCAGGTTCAAGTGGAAACTTTTACCCTACGCTGTATTCAGTGACATCAGGCTGAAAAGCTAACATTTCTTTATATTTGAACATCAAATCGTCTTTGTGGTTCACCACCACAACTTATTCAATCAACCCAACGCTGAACATTTACTCACTTTGAACGCTCTGAAACTCGGGTGTGGACTGTGATGACTTAAGCGAGTTAAGAGGACATCTGAAGATTTGGGGGAGTTCTTATGAACTATAACAAATGTCTCATGTCTAAAAATTGACAACGCAGTTGAGTTTTTTCCAAATATGGAATATGGCTCCAACATGATGTGTGATGTTTTCTGTGGCACTGAAACACAGCTCATAACATGCTGCGGCTACACAGATGAGACTTGTTAGCCAAATAAAACAGTTTTAGCTTTTTCCAGGGAGAAATTCTGATACTAATAAAAAGATAAAATAACAAATAACTTGTTCCAAAGATTTCTGACTTATGGCCCCTTCAGACAAAGTAATGCCTATCGCGGTGCCTCATCACATGTTACGGTTTTAGTGTGGACAGTTTCCTTCTGAGTATTTTATACAAACAATTTTTAGATGCCAAAGGAGACATCTTGAAAAACAAGTCCTTAAAGGCCACTAAAAAAGCCAGCATACCCTCAGTAACCTTTATGTGATCCTGACAGAATCTAGAGCTTTCCTTTATTATTTTATCAGTTGAGCTAACCTGACTATACCTGATTCACCAATATTCTTAATTAACCTCTAAAGCACAGTTCTCACATACTGTACCTGTGCATGGAGGGCCCCCCGGAGGTAGCATTCCTTCCACAAGCCCATGCAGGGCACCATAAGGAGGGGCAGTAAGGGCTCATAGGGATCAAGTGGTGCTTGAGGTCCACAGGTAGAAGTGAGGACCTGGGGAAACTCAGTCAAGGCCCAAGCTTTCAGCAGCCTCTCCAGGCCAGGCACGTTCTCAGATGACGGTGCCCTCCGGTGGCTCTTCTTGTAAATGCCTGAGCTGCTGTTGCGCCAGGGAAGCAGATTAGCTGGACAAGAGAAGACGCCTCGAGAGAGGAGGACGACTGAGCCGGGGATGGTGTCAGTCACCTAGTGGACACATGAGACCGTGGGGAGGGAAAGAAAAAAATACTGTTAGTCGAAATTTAAGGCAAAGGCACCTGCAAATGTAACTGTGCCAACCATGTGCAATGAAGTGTAAGGAGTATGTACTGCAGGTTTAACTTAAGGATTCTGGCCACTGAAATATGGAAGTTCAATTATGAGATGTGACAATTTTCCAGTAACAACATGTTTAACAATTCCTCAAGCACTCTGATACTGATAACTCATTTCAAATTACTGACTTTATTTTAACCTAGAGTAAAGTTTATCTGTGCAATACAACCCAAAGAAAAGGTCCAAAGTGACATGTATGTGCAAACGTTATGAGATCTAGCTGCCAAAATGATTGATTTTAAGTTGCCAAGTCACCCACTATTAAGCTCCCACCATGGCCACTAGAGGGTGTGTTGCATCACTTCAAAGATCTGGGAGCCCTACCCTGTGCTTGTCTGGGTTGGTGTTGAGGTTTCCATTGAGAAGAGGTTGCAGTGGAGGGGTCGGGGGGACAGGGTGGGTGAAGCATTCTTGTCTCTGTTTGCTGTACTGTAGTGACCAATCCCACACTGGGGGCAAAGGAGGGTCGGACGGATATGAGGAAGAATCTGGATGAAGCGTGTCTCTCCAGCCATTGACAGGTGTGTAGGACTGTCCAAGGTTCTGGGTGAAGCAGTACATTTGGTTATAAGTTTTATTTTTTTTAATCCATTTTCAGTTGAATGCCAACTTTTATTTTCTATGCAGGTTTGTACACCAGCATTTTTAAATTATTTATTATATAGAGTACCTTCTGTAGTCATCTGAGACATTTGTCTAGGACAGAAACTTCATGAAGAAGATACTGATACTGTTATTAATAATATTACATGCAGCAATCAGATTTGTCCTTAAGATCAACTAATAACACAAAAAATAAATATTATCACATACTGCATTTAGAATTTAGATCCAGAAATACCAGAGTTATGTACATCTGCAGAAAATACTAATGTCATTCTTTTGAAAAGTCTAATTCTAAATTAGTTGATGATGATTATTATTCCAATCAATACATTCAACATCAGAGCCTTTACTGGCCCTTTTCCATCAGAGACAGAAGACACCCTTCTCAGGTGTCCAGTACCTGTGACGGTTTGCATCTCTCTCGCTGGCAGTTGGCCAGGAAGGTAGAGAAAAGTGGTAGGTGGACACTGTCGTGCAGGGCCAATAGGAAGTCATCTGTCAGTTGGAAGAGAGAGGGATACTGGGACCACAGCTGCCACACACAGTCCAGGAAGAGCAGGAAGACTGGAGCCTACAGGGAGGGAGAGATGTGAATCAGTGTGACTGTAACAAGACAATTAATACTGAATTATCATCATGTGTGACGGGACTATACTGCATCTTTGTCATATAAATAACACTATTCAAGGAATTTTCCATTTTTAAATGGCACACCTTCCCACGCCTTGTAATATCAGTGCAGTTTTGTGCTGGAAGTGGTGTTTTCTTATTGCACAGTGAGTTTTTCCCTTGCCTGTTCAGTATTTTCCTGAAGTGTCAGGAGAGTCGACAGCCTATCCAAAACCAGACCACATTTTCATTGTCAGGGTTGACCTCTCACCTCCTCCTTGTCGTTGTCGCGGTGGTAGTTGATGCGGCTGTAGAATTACCCACTCCTTCTGCACCAGGCTCTGGAAACCATGCTGGGTCCGACAGTGGGGGTCACACATCACTTGCACCAGGCTGGACACCACACAGCTCATGTCCCGGTCCTCTGGCTCTGTAACATCAATACAGAAGCACATGCTAAAACTTTTAAATCAT